GAGAAAGACTCATTAACAACCTACATTATCTAAATGACATAACCTTGCTTGCTGAAAGTGATCAGGACTTGATGTGCTTGCTGCAGATGATCAAAGACTACAGCTTTCAATATGTGTTATATCTCAATATCAAGAAGACAAAAATCCTCACCACTAGATCTATAAGCATCATCATGAGAGATGGAGAAAAGATTGAAATTGTCAACTATTTCATTTTACTTGGATCCATAATCAACACCTGTGGTAGCGGAAATCAGGAGATAAGACTATCATGGATCTCTCCAAATTACTGAGGAGTAATGATGTCAGTCTGAAGACAACAATACTCCTGATTCAGGCCATGGTCTTTTCAATCACTTGCTATGCATTTGAGAGCTGTATAATGAATAAGAATGACAGAGAAGACTATGTTGAAGTTGAGTACTGAATGTTCTGACAAAAGAATAAACCCATATGTCCTAGAGAAAGAGCATCCAGAATGCTCCTTGGAGGCAAAGGTGACAATGCATCATCACCTCACATACTTTGTGCATGTTGTTAGGAGAAGCTATTCCTTGGAGAGGGACATAACACTTAGAAAGGTAGAGGGTCAGTGAGATAGAGAAAGTCTCTCAATAAGATGAATTGACATAGTGACTGCAGCAATGGGCTCATGTATGTCAGAAATAATGAAGATGGCACAGGATAGGACAAGTTTCAGATCTGTCGTGCATTGGGTCTCTGCGATTTGTACTCTACTAAATGGCACTTGCCAACAAAATTAACAACCTAAGCAATCATGTAGGCAAGTGAGACCACCAGCCGCTCTGTGGGAGAAGGGCGGGCAATCTCCTCCTGTGCAATTAACTGCTTCAAACCACTGGAGGGTCTGCTGTGGGTCAGTTCTGATTCTATGGTACACAATAACATCTACAGTTAATATGTGAAAACACTGAGATAAGAATTGTGACTTTCCTTTTCATCTTACTTTAGTTACTCTAAGAAGAAGATACTTTAAAATCTGCACTGAATTTGATGTTTTCAGATCAGCAAAAGCCATCTAGGTGCATATACATGTTAAAATAGCAGATGATTTGAGGAACCATTGGATTTCCCAAACAGTTGACTAGGCCATCATCAACCTTGCTTACCATCCTGGACTTCGGCTTGTTGTTCTTTGTGAGTAAGAGACCCAGGTGTGGATCAGGAAACAGAATATGGTCTCAGATGGGCTGTATCCTACATCATTTTATTTTCCAGAGTGAATGTATAACAGTTGTGAGATAGCAATACCATTTCATAGAAGCAGAAATCCACTCCAGAAGGGTGGTTCTACATTTGCATATTTTTAAGGCAGAAAATATATTTTTTCCTCCACTGAAATAAAGTACAAAGTTCAAGATTACCTGTGCTCCTAAAACTTAGAGAACGATTGGAGCACTTTGTGTTATAGCGCTATTCATTATTCCTTTCTGTTTGTCCAATTTAATATGTTGCATTTTTTCAAACAAAGGCAGATAGAATCATTTATATTTAATCTCCTAGAGCAACTTAAATTTTTCTTTACTTAGAAAGTTCTTACAGATTTTCTTTTGTAAATTCAAGCAACTAAAGTCCCTTCTCTCCTTGATCTTAGATAATGAAGTCAATAATCAGAGCCATTTTGTCTTACTGTAATGGTTAGCATACTGGTATAATGCTAGAAACTATGTCACCAGGATGTCAAATAAATTCAGGGTCAGTAATGGTGACAGGTTTAATAGAACTTCTGAATTAAACTGGATGAAGAAGAATGCCTGGCTGTTTCTAAAAATTAGTTAACAAGAAATCTACAAATTACAGCAGACTCTAGTATCTCATGTTGTTGTTGTTGTTGTTAAGTGTCGTTGAGTTGTAGGCAACTAATAGCAACCCTATGAATGAAAGACCTGAACAATTGTATAACTTTTTTCATTTCTCCACTTTCACTGAGTTTCCAGAGGCAAGCTATTTTGGAAGAGAATGCCACTCCTACTTCCAAGTTTGTTTCAAGTGGGGAGCTCCACCAAACACTGTCCACCACAGGTAACCATTATCATATTTGACACGTCATTGTCACAGTGTTCAGCTTCACAGCAATCATGAGTTACCTTTGTACAGCAAATGGACAGGCCAGTGTTATACCAATTGGAAGAATGTGTGACCAAAACAATTAAAACCAGACCTGAAGGTTGCAGATCAAAATCAGCCACCTTTGGCTTGGTAGCATAAATTTATATCCATTAGGCCAACAGAGTTCTCTCTATGTTGTTGTTGTTATTGTTAAGTGTCATTGAGTCATAGATGACTCACAGTGACCCTATGAATGAAAGACCTGAACATTTATGTATAACTTTCATCATTTCTCCATGTTCGTAGAGTTTCCAGAGGCAAGCCATTTAGTGTTGAAATACAAGCCTCCTTAGATAGAAGGAACTTAAATATATAGCGGCTGTAAGAATGGATTAGAGCGAAAACAATCCAGTAACAATAGCAGAATTCAACAGAACAGCAAACAACAAATACTGACAAGGTTGTGGAGAAACTGGAACCATTATTTACTGTTGGTTGGAGTGTAAAATGGTGTAACCACCATGGAAGGCTGTATGGCACTTTCTCAAAATGTTGGAAATAGAAATACCATTTGACCCAGCAATTCCACTACTAAGAATATGCCCTAAAGAAATCAGAACTCCCACCAAAATAGATATATACACACCTATATTTATTGCTGCATTGTTCACAATAGTGAAGAGATGTAAACAATCCAAGTGCCCATCAACAAAGAAATGGATAGTGATATTGTGGTATATTCACACAATGGAATACTATACAGTGCTGAAAACAAGGAACTCATAAAATATTATACAAAATGTGTGACCCTAGAGGACATTATGCTGAGTGAAATATCTCAGCCAAAAAAGACAAACATTGCATAATGCCACTGTTATAAAACAGGACTGACATGGGGTTTGGGGAAAAACTAAGAAAAGGGGATAAATAATGTACACTGCATTGAAACAGATGAGGGAAAGAACTGTTTAAAAGGAATAGATGATTAGGTATTATTTGCATGACAACAGTCTTAAATAAGAGCTGCATAGCAAAGTGGACTCAGGTAGGGGGAGAAAATTGTGCAACAATGAAAGAATTTTTGTGTTTTTTTTTTTTTTATCCAAGAGAAAAACAAACTGGAAGGGTGAGTAGGGAGGAAAATGTTCAATAATGAATGAGTGGAAATCCAAGTTCTCTATAAACTTGTTTTAAAATCTCAATTAAAAAA